TAGCTAGTCCGTTTGAATAAGCAGCCGGATTGTTTTTTACGGTTTGATTCGTTCAAAAGTAAATTGTTTGCTAATAGATACATTCTCTCTCTTCAGGAATGTGTGAACTGCTGAATGATAAAGAATAATGTTGGAGACTACAACCGAATGGAGTCAAATATGAACAGGAGAAAAATTCGACTGCTGAAAAGAGATTAAACGAGAATGCAAAATGCTCGTATATAAGCTCATATGAGAGGTTTAGAGTTACGTATGGACATGCATTGCAACATTCTCGTCGCAAAATAAAGACGTCAAGCGATATTTTTAAAAAAATTGCGAGGCATTGATAGTTTCCAGAGCAATTGTAAAACTATTAGATGTTAAAATTGAAATGTTAGGAGTCATTTATCCGTACAACAACACAAGTCAACACTTATCAGGTCATAATATCTTATGTAAATTTTCCAACGCTACACTCGTTCCCCTCAAAATCACAAAAATGATTTTAATGACGGACTCTTCCGCACTGCACAGAATAAACCGCACGATTAGCCGTCTTTTAAAGGGACCGCGTTTAGCAGAAAGGAACCAAGCCTCGTCAATTGCCAAATTGGACTGGGCAATTACATTTTTTGAAGAGAACGTTTGTGCGGATCCCTTTAAAATTTTAAGGAATTTGCTTTATAAGATGCGAAAGCAGTCACCAAAATTAACACAAAAATCTGCACAACCATTTTCACGTAAGAAATCCAATTGCCCAATTGAATTTGGCAATAGCTGATGCGGCTTGGTTCCTTTCTGCTTAACAAGGGCCAAATCTCCTCCACGCGAACAGTGTATTCAGGCCAACAATAGGCCACGTAAGATCGATAGTATCCCACTCGTTTCACTAATACGCATAAATCGTTATCTACACTCAAACCTGCCTCTAAACATCCACCCCCGCCTTCCTCTGCGGAGGCATTCCACCGAAAAAAGCCAGCGTAGAAAGTTGCGGCGGAGTAGTAGCCACACTGGAGAAGACGGGTCAGTCATAGCCTCGCCAAACAAGAAACACGTTAGTTCAAGCGGAGATTAAGTGGATATCCGAGGTTTCTGATCGGATCGGCGATGGGAGCATGCGGGAGACGCGCTTATGAGGTTGCGGCGTACGTGAACTTGGTGAGCGCGGTTGACCAGCTGACCCATTGGCAACGGGGGCCGTAACTCACCGGCCGCCGGTTACCGTCGATTTGATGACGGATACGGATGCGAGACGCGGATAGACCATGGTAATGAGTTACGGCCGCCGCATCTCGGTAGACTATGGAAGCGATGAGTGTGCCGCCTCGCGAGCATTCATGTGACGCCTCCGGAAGCAACCGTGCGAATTAGCAATATTTTAAAAAAAAGACTGATTTAGTGGCTGCGTCATTCGGTATAATATCGAACCCTTGGTTCGAATGTAAACAAACCCATGCGCTTTGTTTCTGATTCGCGCCTTTTGCGCCATGGTGGTAAAATGCGTCCAAGTGTTTCTTACGATCGAGATTCCTCGTGTTTAATGAGGGTTTAATCGATTTATGACCGGTCAATGACTATATTTTAATGAATTAATGCAATTAACGCATAATGTTCTTACATGACGTTATGTTAGTTTGATGAAAGCGTTAATTAGGAGAACGGGTCTACAATTATTTTCAGACATTTAAATGACAGTCTGATAATATACACGTGTCTTCAAAATAGCATTAAAAATGTTTTTAATGTGTTTCAACAATCATTTGAAGTTAGAAATAAAATTATCAAAAAAACAAATTCTGAAAACCAAAAACCTAAAAATTAAATAATTAAAATAGAGAACCGTTTGAGACTCAGATTGAAAATTAAAATGTAAGGATCAGACATTTTTTATAGATTGATAGTCACTTCGCAGGCTGTGAATTAAAAATCTTTCTCATGAAACGGATATCATCACCCTCGTTTTCTGGTAAATATTTAAGAAAAAATACTATACGACAATTAAACCATTGTCAACATCTAAAAGTATGTTTGAAACGTTCTAAAAACGGTTGTAAAACACATAGGATTATTATCTAACACAATACAACCTGTGTTTTTGTCCTTTTATAGTTTCTTTTTTTTTGAGAAAAAAAAAAAAAAAAAAAAAAAAAAAAAAAAGAGCTAAAGCGTTGAATGTTGGGCGATAAGGACGAGAATATCAGTGAGCACGTGCACGTCCACTAAAAGCGGCTTCCAGACATATTACGCCTCGCCATAAATCTTGATGTCTCTTTAGGTCGGAACTTTCAATAAGAATCTAAAGATGCATAAACAGGTGATTCACGATAGCTGAAACATAGAATTTGGCCTACTTAGCGTTGAGTCGCGTCTTTAACCGCGGCCGAGACGTCGTTCGTTTGAGTCGGCAGGATTTTAAGCGAAGGCATAAACCGCCGCGGAGAAAACGCACCGATTCAACAGAAAAGCATCGCTGTTGCGCTGTTCTTCTCCACGTGCGTGTGGTTGGTGGTCGGCATGCCCAGAAACAGGCATTACGCCCATTTCAAACAGCGAGCACAATTCAATCCATCAAATCCCCTTCCTGTGCGGATGTGCAACACCGCTTACTTTCCATGCCGCCGAATCGGCGTAGTTTGGTTTTATCCACGTTTATTTATGGAACCGCAAGCTTGTGGTTTATGTGGTTCTCCAGAAGAAAATTGAAACATCACATGTGCCAACGAGTCTTTTTTATTTTGTGGTGTATGTTGTTTCTTTCCGTTCTGTGGAAATGAAAAGTTCGAGTCTATGAACTTATGGGCACTAAACCTTATCGATAGAAATCCCGACTCGTATAAGATTCGCACAACCAAGTGTCTAATTCTCGTAACTAATTATCTTCTATAGGTCCGATTTAATCAAAAAGTTTGATCACATGAATCGAAAGTTTGGTTCGAAAAATAGAAAAGTTCGATAATTATGGAACACCAAAATTCGGTTCTTAATGATCGCGATTTTTTTTCAATGCAGTCCGGTAACCCTTGGCGGAAGAACTATAAACTTCTTGCGAAACTCTGTTGACGGAAGGCGAAAAGTAGAAAGGGGCAGACCAAAAAATGTTACGTTATTATATGTCATGGTTATAAAGCTCATCTTTTAAGCTTTTATACTTAAAGTAAACTAATTTACAATGCTCTCGTCTTGGTAGTTAAATCATCGTGTAACTCATCGGAAAAAAAATCCAAATTCAATTATGTGTAAACATAGCTTGACATATTTGGAAAAAAAATGGCTTGTATATTGCAAAACAGATGTTGCAAATATTTGAGTCAAATAATATTTAGAAATAATTTGTGTTAAAACCGAAACCTGAAATTTTTTTAAATTAGTACCATGAAATTATGCATGAATGCGTTTTACACTGCATACCAAAAATGAATAGTAAAGAACAAAAATAATTCATGCCATTTCAGCTTGTTTGAATGGAAGAAATGTTTCAAAGTGGCAACATGGTTATAGTAGAAACCTGTTTCATTTTTACGGACGCAAACTATGAGTGGAATTCGAACTCATCCTAGGCCTTAAAATTCCGGCCTTGATGACTGATCAAACATTTTACGTCAAGATGATTCATCATAAAACCAATTTCTTTTTTTATCGTTATGACAGTGGGCCATTGACTGCAGCGAAACATTGAATTTCACCGTCGAAAATAGTAAATTAAGTACCTGTTATGATGACTTGCTATAACGACACTACCATGAGCTGTGATATTTTGATTGAATTGTGAGCTGATGTGCGTCTCGTTTTATGAGTTTTGTTCGCCTCACTTTCAGTTTTGCTCCTATGATAAGAAAAACAGAGTAGTTAGATTTGCGAAACCAAACAACCGAGGAAAATAACCTAATAACTCTTCGCCCGGGGCAGGGAGACTGACTATAGTCATGCTTCATGAAACTCAACAGCGGACTGTGGTACGGATGTGAAGTTTGGCAGCTGAAGGAACATACACAGGATATGTTAAGAGCAACGGAGATGGGTTTCTGGAGGAGGTCGGCAGGAATTTCTAGGAGAGATCGGGTCCGTAATGAGGGAGCGCGTCATGTGTATAATGGAAGTCGAAATATCTGCAATGCGTGAAGTATTCATGCGGTCTTGCAGGTGCTAATATGTGTTAGGGCCGATTGTAAGACCTCTGGTCAGGTGCTTGTCAAAGTGGTAGTTTGGAGCTGACCAGAGCTTGACCAGAGGTAGGTGTGTATGACTCCCGGTTTTCTTCAGGTCAAGTCCCGGTCAGCCTTTGTTCTCTCTCGCAAACCAGTAGTTAGGCTGATTAGCAGATTAACTGCTGGTCAGAGTCTGACCACTGGTTTGGTGACCAGAGGTTGACAAGAGATCTTACAAACGGCCCTTACAAACCGACCGCCGCGCTGAGGGCTCTCCTTTTCATCTCAAGTCCTCGTCATCATTGCTCTCTGCGCCTCGCCGCTCCATGCCAAGTTGTGTGTTTGGTTTCTCTCTTAACTCGACTAATTAAAGGTGCTGTCTCTTGTATCACCGAAAGACGACGAAATTAGAAATTACTATACTCTCAGGAAATGAGAGATTTTGTCGCCTTGTCTCGTTTGTAATTTTTTTCTGAATCCGATTTTTTTTATATATACCTACATTAAAAAAATTGCAAAATTTGCCGCCATGGGCCGCGGCCCATTAATCATGCCCTGGACCCCAACAAACTTCCAGAGAAGACTATGAACCAGAAGACTAAACGGGTCCATACGCTGACAAAAAAGTTACCGGCTATATAGACATACCATCCGCTCCGAGCTCAGAGGCCAAAAGTTCCGAACTGCTGGAGGCGTAAAGCTCCGGATGCTACGCCCGGAACTTTCGACTTCTGAGCCCGAAACGCGGACAGTATGCCCGTAAGTACGGCTTCCACGGCCGGGGTTATTTTTCAGTGTACTGTATATTAGTAGGTTACACTTATCTCCAAGCTTGCTAAAAAAAAAAAACCGTTTTCTCCATGTTTTCAGGATGAGGAGGGTAGACGCCCCGTCAGATACCAACTCGAGTCACCTGACGGTGGTGCATGACATTCGGTCGATTCTGGAGAGGAGTCGGGTCCTAGGAGCGCAGCTGGGCGACTGGCTCGAGAACACAGGTTTCCTCCCGGTCACCATCAACATCCCCGATGTCCTCGCCGGGCTGTACAGCTGGTTCCCGAACAACGCCGCCGGCTCCACGCCCCGGAAATTGATCAAGATGCTCTCCAAGATGTACAAGGAGATCACCACCAACTCTGACCTCAAGGACGAGCTCAAGGTCATCTCCGAGCACGCCTCGGAGTTCGAGTCCGGCTTCAAGACCTTCTGGGATGCCATCGACTTCTCCGAGGAGTTCGAGGCTATCGTTAAGTACATCTCCAAATAAGGCCGCTATCGGGTCAGATGATTCTTTACCGGAATGGCTCAGTTGAGCCGTCAAATGATTGAGATTTCTACAGCATAAACATGATAAGAACCGTCCGATTGCCTAGTTTTTTTACGGCCAGTATTAACGGAGATATCGCCCTCAAAAAAACGCGGTGTACGACGTCCCCCACTGCGGTTGTATACCTTGGTTTCTTCCACGTTGGATTCATTAATTGATGGTACAGATTTTGTACCGGTTACTCAATTGAATGACTTGAATGGAGGTGATAGAAATCGTGGTAGGCGTCACCGTGGTGGATGACGTCATACGCCGTGTTTTTGAAAAGGGATATCTCCGTCAATACCGGACCTAGGAACTTGATGTTTGGACGGATTTAAGCACTATTTGCTGATCTATTATCTAAAATCATCAGACTACGATTCTGCGACTAGCGTCACTGACCCATTGAATGGTCGTGCGTACAAAAGGAGGTGTCTTTCTTGAGTGAGATTCAGCTTCATTGACTTTTTGTCATTGTACATACCATGTAAAAAAAATTGTAATCATATAATTATGTCTATAATATTGCTGGTGGTATGATTCATATTTTTTCCACCGATGGTGTTGTCAGAGCATCAACTTTTCTGCATTTCTACCTCATTTTCCAATTTGAGTTAGTTTTCATTTTGTATTAGATTTGCATCACTATCTGTCACATTAGCAGTGTAAACTTCTGGCGGCAAAGGTGAATTTTAGTATTTTCTACTCTGACGAATATGCCTGCTGTAAACCATTTGCTGCTCTTCGCGTGGAAGAACCAGAAAGGAAAATAAAACCTCCTTCAAATACCATGAACTGCAGTCCATACAGGATGCATTCATCGGACGCTGAAGATATTATTTATTAATAAACTGTAGAATTAGTAAATATTTAGAAGGACAAAAATTACTTTGTAGTAAAGTTTGAACGGAGTTTCAGTCATTTAAGTGTCTGCGTAGCCAAATTACCTATAATTTTAATTCTAAGTATGAGTCGTTGCTCAATTTCTAATTCCTTGTATTCTTATTTATTTATTTATTAATTTATAACTCATATCACTCTGTATATTTTTTACATATTACGCATACCTACTTTTGTAAAATTTACGACTTTCCTGGTGAATTCGCATAACTCATCGATTAACTTTGATGTGTGTTGTATCACTAAAAATTGAAGGGGACTTTTCACTTGAGCGATAAATTTGCCAGCTTATAAAAGTAATCGAAGTCAGGAGAAGAACAATGTGTATTTAAATGTCATGTATCTCTTAACGTTTGCCTATCTCTATGATGGTTTTTCAAAATTACCTTTAGCTGTAAACTTGTATACTATCTGGAGAGCTAAATGTCTCAATTCTTGCTAACGAGGATTAGTGCATTCAAAATATTTAATTAGATCTGCTAACAGGAAACTCCTCCCAAATCTTGGAATTGAAGTTTAGGCTGCATATTTGCAAAGATGAGATCTTCACGACGGGAGGCATATGGACCTGAATTTTTGACGTAAAACATAAAATTGACCAGGCTTAGTCAAGTTATCATAGTTTTCTGAACAGTAGACTTTCCAGAAAATCTTGTTTAAATGTTTCATCTCGACTTATTCTTTCGTCGGGGAATTAATGGGCCTTAATTGTTATTTAAAATAATTTTTGGCAGTCCATGCTCCCAAAATTCGTCAAACTATGCCAATACCTATAATTTTCCATACTCTTGTCTATTTTGCACGCATAGCAAAGGTCCCTCCTCGTAGAATGTTACTCATTAAGAATGTATTCTCGCACTTCTCTTCCCAGAATTGAAGCTACATCGAAAAATTAAATTTCAAATCAAAATTAGATGGATAGTACTTACTTTTTAACACTTCACCTTAAGTAAATAAGTCGCAAATGAAAGTTTAAAAGCGCGTTTGCAAATGACCGAAATGATTTGTCTCTTTATAGGTAAACTAAAATTGTATCTTGAATTGTCCTCTCCTTAACTTTCTTTTAAATAATACTGTGAATATTTCAGACGAAAATATTGACTTGTTTATTATTTAAAAAAAAGAAGAAGACACACTGAGACGCATACATTTTGTGACCATGAAATTTTAAATGGTCAATGTTGCAAAATGCAATGGTGATACGTGTTTTTGTACTTCAAGCCGGTGCAAGTTAACGGACACGATTTTGAGGAATCATTCAGGTCTTTGAAGAGGTTTTTAGAAACAGATCTCCAATGTAGTTACGATACTAAGTGAAATAAAATGCACGGATAGACTTGAACCATTGCAATTTTCATCACTGACTAAAACGGTTTGCACATCAGAATATTAATAATTGTACATAATTTTATTACTTCGATGCTTATTTTTGGAGCAGCTACATTCGGTCAGCACTTGTGTCTTTAATTACGTGCCTCCCCTGTTTACCGATAAAAATTATTTACATATCCAGTATTTATTGCTTAATTTTGTAAATAAATAAAACAATATCCTGTTTATTTTATTGATATTGTCCTGTTCTCCCTCACAACAAGATTTCTGTATTTTAGGCAATTATCACTGCACAAGATGCTCCAAATTTTGTGGTATCTTTTTTCAAATATTGTTAAATATTTGACGGAGATAGAAGGTGTTTCCGAAGGCTGCCACGCAAATAGATTGGTTTTGCTTGATTCTGCAAGTGGACATTGCATGGCGCAAAAGAAGTCAATTTGCAGAAGCGCTCAAATCTCCTAACTGGGTGTGGCCTATAATAGAGACATAACTGGTTTTTCCGATATATTCATGGCTAAAGTCGAAAACTGAGTAGCTTTGATTGCAATGATACGAGTTTCTGTTCGTATTTAGTTTACAGAGAAAACTAAAGAATAAGTTTTTTTGTGTAATTTGATGTATTTTACTTTCACTCATTTAAAATTATTTGAAAGATAAATTTTAGTTAGTTTTCCTTGAATAAAACAAAATCTGAAATTCTGAAACTTTGCAACAAAGGTACGTAATTATTTCATTTACAACCTATTAAAAACTTTAAATTTTTAGACCTGCCGTTCACAAACTGCATGTCTCTGTCGCCGACGCTCCACGCAGAAGCCAGTAACTTTTTCTGTGAATTAAAAATTTAAATTAAGTACGAAAAATAGAGGTAATCATCCGCAGTCGAACATATCAGCCTGCAATGTGGCTAAAACTATGCAGTTTCACATACCATTTATGCAGAAAAATGATGGTAACATTCAGAGGTTATTTTGTAAGAAATGCATTGCAGAGCTTTTTGATAGGTTAACAGTATGCGAGTATAAAGAGCTATAAGCCCAATCTTACCAGGATGGCAAGCCTCGTAGGTGCTTTGTCCGAGGATTTCCTCAATTGGACTACATTTTGCAACTTGGAACTACAAAATCTGGCTCAGATTAGTTACGACGTATAAGCACCATTATTTTCCCTGCAGGTACATACGTGCTTTTATAGATGATCCAGATATCGTAGTTCCCACTCACAAAATGTAGTCCCATTACAGAATGAATGGGCAATCAATGCTTCAATATAAGGCATACGGCTGTGTGGGCGCAATTTGTCACCTTTCGGCCAAAGTACCATAAGCGCCATGCGACGTTTCAAAATTTCCATGGCCATTTTATTTTTTTTACAAAGAAATTTTCGGTTAAATCTGTTTGAAAATTTTATTAAATTTTATCGACAGCACAAAGAAAATTTAGTGGAATTTTCGGACAGCTTCTTTGAACAATTTCTATGTCAAAAAATAAAGTGGTGGCGGAAATTTTGAAACGTCGCATGGCGCTTGTGATATTTTGGCCGGAAGGCAACGAATTTATGTCGGTAATATATTATGAATGAAAGAAGCCTGTATTCCAGACTTCCTCTTAATGCGTTTTCATCTTAAATGCGTTCAAATAACATTAAAATATCGGCTTTTTCGACCAAGATCATTTGACAAAGAAGAGGTAAAAGCCTTAGAACTAAGCCGCCGGAGACATAATAAAGAGGGCTCTGACAGCGCAGATATTCTAACGCTGTGAAAGTGGCTTTGGGTGTGCATGTTACCGTCCACCGGAAGGTGGCTCTGGATACCCGAGAGCCAAGTAAATGAGCTGTCGATACATGTGCACTTGCTCAGATAGAATCTCTTTTGTTTGCGTTTTTCCCCTGCAACCAACGTAAGCGTCGTAATTAAAAGCAAATCTATGTCATTACTCTCCTTAAAACTCCATTGCTGCCACATTTCTTTTTTATTTCGGGCCACACAGCTTCTGTCTTTAAAGAGGTCTTAGATGATTTACACTACGCGGCCGTGCTAAGGAAGAAAGCCGTATGAACATTCGAGAGTTGTCAAATTTCTCTGGATAAAGTATGTATTTAGGATGATATTCAAGCACATTTTTCCATGAAATTTTCAGATATTTTAGATTGAATTGCATACAAAATTGTCTGAAAATGTTTAAAAAAAAATATTCAAAAATTTCCCAGTTATTTCGGTTTTTATCGAAGGAAACTTGACAACGTCTGATGGCTCATACGGCGTTTATCCTTGGCACGGTAGTACGGTTAAGGAAGAATCGACGTGGTCATTAACACAACGTCATAGAAAAGACAATTTTTACGTACCGAAAATTTATCAGTACGAATTTGAAAATTGATGCGTATGAGACATCACAATAGGTACCTCGCCACTACACTGAAATAAGTTTGTACCTACTTTAAAATTTGTCAAAATCACAGAATCATCTTTGCGTATCTTGTTTCCCTAGCAGCGGCAAATCAGTTTAATCCCTTGTAAGAATTCATTTCCAAAGTTATCGTTGATTTTTTCTATAGAAAAATTGTCCTTTTGTATGATGCTATGTTAAAGGTGTCCGTGAACCATCTTTACGCACAATCTAAGTCAAATGGGGCCTCCCTAAGGAGACAATCCATTTAAAGAGTGAGCATAAATTGTAATCTTCCGGCCAAAGTATCACAAGCGCCATGCGACGTTTAAAGATTTCCACCGCCAATTTATTTTTTATAGAGATATTTTTGGTTAAATCTGTTTGAATTTTTTTTCAATTTTATCAGCAGCGCAAAGAAAATTCAGTGAAATTTTCGGACAGCTTTGTTGAAAAATTTTTCTGCAAAAAAGTAAAATTTTTAGGCATCGCATAGCACTAATTGGGATACTTTGACCGGAGAGTGACGAAATGTGATCTTTACACACATTTAATTCGATGGTCCTATGGGATGCTCAAAAATTTTGGCTCCCAGAGTGATTTTTGACAACATATAGTTAATTGCGCCTAGAAAACGGCTGTCGACCGCTCATAATGGAGTATGGGAAATGAGAAGCAAATTATTTTGAAAAACAAATTATTTGTTCGTCAACCAGCAGAAGCTACAATTTTTTTATTGATTCCAGTGGAGAATGCTGCCCACTGGAACCAACGAGCGGACCTTTAGTCTCCGTAAAAAAAGCCACGATACCTTTTATTGTAATATTCGTGCTTGCTGATGGTCAAAATGTTCGACAATAAAAGGTCGTTATTCGAATTATCAGCAGTGCTAACAAAATCAATATAAATGCTATAAAAGAACCATTTCTCAATTCCACTTGATTGTTTCTGATAGTTATTCAGGAGAAAACTTTGTCTTAATATCACATCTCATATGCAATTTAAGTATATATTACGTAAAATTGAGCTTTTGAGAGTGCATCTCAACGGTGAAACTACCATACCACGTATCTTGTTTGCGCAGTGTTTGAAAATCTCAGATTCCATTTTATTTTTTGAGAAGATAAAGAGTCAACATCATTCCTAAAAATTCTCACAGAATTTTTCATGCGCAGAAAAGAAAAATCACGACAACCTTTAAGAAGTGAAGTTAAATAGTTATTCATTTAAAAAATAAAATGTGATAGGAAGTCTGCAACTTTACAAATCGAGAAACGTGGTTAGGAATTTTCACCGTCGATATGTTAGAGAACACAGAAAGACATCATGAGGGCATTTTGTAAAAATGTATCAGTTCAGTATCGTCAACGCACAATTTTCATCGAAATAAAAATGGTATTTTGACTGAGTATTGATTCTTGCAACTGATTTCAACAGGATTGTGTTCCACTCGATTGAAGATTTTCACCTGGAGTAAAATATTGTAAGTACTTCCCATTTTCTTCACACAACCTTTTATTTGCATAGCCTACCACAACAAATACCTAAAACGGCAATCTACACACCTCCATTTGATTTTTTTTTTACAAAAATATTGACAGTATGAAATATAAAATTAAATGTATATCACATCTTATGTAAAGCGTATCGAAAGTCGAGTTTCACTGTAGCATGTCCATGGTCACAAGAGAGTCAGTTGCGTAAAAAGAGAGATCCTTGAAATACGTGAACTTTAGGTTAACCCCAAACAACACATCTCCACTCCGCTCCTCAGTTGCTCACCACCTGAGCACCCCCGACTTGGAAGTGCACCCTCTGTCGCGGCGACACCTGCGCATCGTGGATCTCAACCACCCGCATCATGCTCCTCTCGAGTGATTCCGTCTCGGCCGCGTTCCGCCGCACCGTATTCGTCAGCTCCCCTTCCGTTTCCGGTGACTCACTTCCGGTTGCACTACCAGTACTTCCGGTTACACTGGTAGAACTCTCAACTACAACTTTCTGTTCAGTCTTACCGTTGGTTTCGGGGGTTTCAGCCTTGCTCAAACTACTACTGGAGGTGTCTCTATCCTCTCCGGTCAAATTTGAAGTCTCCTTTTCACTTCCTGTAAAACCGGATGTCTCCCTGTCACTTCCGGTTGGGGCTGCAGTTTCCGCCTCCGTCGATACTTCCGTGATCGACTCGACGACGGACGTCGATTCCTCGGCGGATAAGCGGCCATCGATAACCAACGAAGAATCGTTCTTATCGTCTTCGTTCGACGAAGAGGCTTCATTTACACTAGACTCTGTCGACTCCGTAGACTCATTGGACTCAGTAGACTCGCTCAACGTGCTACTCTCAATTTTATAGTTCTCCGTACTCGTCTCAGAATCCTTGCCATTCGAAGTGGCGGTCGACTCTTCTTTTTTGTCTTCCGTTGCTGGAGCTTCCGTCACGATGATCTTCAACCCCGATTGCGCGGCTGTCGTTTGCTCAACCGGCGATGACGTCATCGGCTTCCCTTGCTCCAAGTTATCCGCGCTCAGACTTGGAGTCGTAGCGCTCTCCAAGCTCGGCAAGTTAACAGTCACGTCAGACAACTGTCCGCTAGGCGGAAATCCGACCACAGGCTGGACGTAGGGGAGGTAGACTTGTGGATTAGACGACGGATAGTTTTTATCGATCAAGGTGTAATCGTGCCCGATAAAGGGTCTCGAGAAGGGGTTCGCGAAGTGGAACCGGTCCGAGTCGTCGAAGTGCGTGATCTGGTAGCTGACGGGGGCTTTTGGGAAGTAGCCATGGTACTTGAAGTCGTGAGGTACATCGGCGCGGATGATGGTTTGCGAACTCTGCGGGTATAAGAACGACGGGAAGGTTGAGAACAATGGGCCTTTTGTTATTTCCTCCCCTTTGACGTGGAAGTCGGAAGTGAACTTGGTTTGCGGGAAAGCGTTGAGGTTGAAGGCCGGTTTGAAGTCTTGCTTAATCGGGGGTGGGTAGTCTTGGACCTCCGGTGCGCTGGGGGCCGTCAACCAGGGATGCGGCTCTTCGGCGAAGCCGGTGGATGTTGGTGGTTCCTGGTAGATCCGATCGAATTCTTCGTGCTCTGCGGGGTAGCTACTCGGTGTCTTGGAGTGTAATAGCTCCTCGAACCTATGCGCGACTTCGGAGAAAGGAGAGACCAACTTGACGACCGGTTCGTTGAAAGTGTTGTGATGCTTGGTCTTCAGCGGAGCGAACTTGCCGGGCGGGGGGTGTTGGACCTCGGGCGGGGAGGGGCGGAAGTGTGTGGGGGGTGAGAATACAGAGTAAGCGGGGAAAAGAGGAAGCTGGAAGGGAGCGTTCCTCGTGAAGCCGTGCCCGAAGAAGGGGTGGTGTCGTGGGGCGCGGGTGTTGTCGATGGCGCGCCTGCTACGTTTCCGCAGAGAGGGGTTCTCGATGACCACGGAGTCGTTGTCGTCGTCGGGGGTGTCCGCGGACTTTAGGGTAGTGTCCTCGCTGGGGTCGTTGGATTTGCTGTCGGCGGTGAGGTTGTTGGGGCTGGTCGGGGGTGTGTAGTCATCCGGCAGCTTCTGGCTGTCGATAATCACCTCGTCGTCCTCTTCCTCTTCTTCTTCTACTGCGGTGGGGGCGGCTGGCTTGGTGCCTGTGCTGCCGGGTGCCTCGCCGTAAACGTCCATGTCTTTGGGAGGTCTGTAACAAAAGTAAAGACATTGATATTAGTTAAGCGCTATGGAAGAAGGGGGTTGCTCCTTTCTTACTACTGTTAATCAGCGTTAGAGGGATGCATTTGTAGAGGGATCCAAGCAAAGCTGTCCCTACAGAATTTTGACCTACTCCATCGAGGAAGAACAAACTTCTTACTAGTTGGAGCTGAGGGAAAGAGGTTGAAAGTTTTATCTCTTGAAAATTCAACGTTACAGATAACTTTAACTCCAAATTTCACATTAAAGATAGTTTTAATTTAAGCATTCACTTTTGATTTTGACCAGAAGCAAGTATACTCTCAGTTGGAAACTGATTCTCGAAATTTCTACCAATATGTACGTGCAATTTCAAAATTTGATATTTGATATTGATGATTTGATTTTAAAGAAATAGAAAAAAAAATTACAAACGAGAAAACGCGACAAATTTTCTCATGACCTGAGAGTATAGTAATTTCTAATTTTGACGTCTTTCGGTGATATAAGAGGCAGCACCTTTAATTAGTCGAGGTAAGAGAGAAAACAAACGCGCAATTTGGCCTGGAACGGCGCGGCGTAGAGAGCAATGATGACGAGGACTTGAGATGAAAAGGAGAAGCCCTCAGCGCGGCGGTCAGCGTGTAACACATATTAGCGCCTACAAGACTGCATGAATGCTTCACGCATTGCATCAAACACTGTGCGGTCAGCAGCGGTCGGCGTAAAATGCATGGCGCCTACAAGACTGCATGAATACTTCACGCATTACCAAATTCAGTGCGGTCAGTGCTGCGCGCCGGCGCGGCGGAAGTTTAAATTATTAAACCACCTTATGTTTGTTCTTTTATAATTTGTTCGTTCAATACTTGTAAATGGAAGGCCTTGTCCACACAGAGATAGGTTTACGGAACTTATCTTCCGCGCAAAGTTTCGTGAACTTATGCTCGTAGTGTTGACAGGGCTTCCGCAAAAAAATGTGTCCAACATGAGTAAACACGTCTTATTCACCACTCCCCCTCTGGCACGTTCACTTGATGGTTTTTGTCGATGTTTCGGAACGAATGAGAAGGGGTGCCAAAATGTAGGCGGTCCATGGGCGGCAATTATGTGAATCCGGCCTTGATGTTTTCTGAGAATGAGTGAATGATGCTCACACAATATTACATTAAAAAGCGTAGGATAGTTTTTTTTAAAAAAAATAAAATGTGATCGGAGACTCTCAACGCTGCAATCTGAGAAACACTTTTTTCGATTTTCGATTTTCATCTTTGAAACAGTGAAGCAGTTAGTACCCATTTTCCTCTGATTACGAAATTACGTCACTATTAATTACCGAAGATTTTGCAAATCGATTAAATGAGCAAGAGTTTGTTCGTACAACTTGTGGTGAAGCTGTTTGGCAGCTTGAACTTCAGGAGTATCCGTCACAACTTCGGGCATGGCGTTCTGCGGCAGCGTGTTTCCGGCCATGTGGAATCCTTTCCCTTCATCCCAATACTGCATCTGTAATCCGAGCATTGAATTGGGCATTAGTAGAGGATAGAGTAAGCTTGATATACTGAATAAACTGATAGAAAGAGGTATACTTCATTGTACCTGTTAGGTATGTACTTGTTATAGTGATCCACTAATGCTCATAAAAATACTCTATTCAGTGTAATTGGCATGCTTATGATAACGGTTAAAGTTACGATTTTTCGGCATTGTGAAACTTGAAAATTACCACTTACAGATTAAGCGTTAAATGGATTACATTTTGCATTAAGAAATCACTATCTCTAGCTCTTTCATTAAAGCACCATTCCGTCCAAGGAAACCAATGATACGTTGTTTTCCAAAATGATCAAGAAATAGTGGTTCCTTATTGCAAAATGTAATTCAAATATCCAAAAGAAAAGTTTGCGAATAAAAGGCCTACCAACTAAATCCCATTTTTGTTATTCAATGATGGACATGGGTATGTTCAGAATCTGATATACGTGTCAAACTAAATATTGCCAGTCATAATGAAATGAAATCAATTTGAGCGGCAGATAATTGAAGAAATCACAAAAATGGGGAAGTGTTCAGCTGAATTAACCTAGAGCAAGGTATAAGCGAATTGATTTTTATATAAATTTATTCACTTCATGTAGAGAAAGTCCTCACATTTTGAGTGAAAGAACGGGGATTGAATGAGCTACTACGCTTCTCAGGCCCAACTATGAAGTTCAGTTCTTTTTGCTCGTGAGTAATGAACACATGGAACATTCTTCAACACTCATTTGTTTGAATTACTACCAGTGATTTTTGCCATTCATCTTTAAGTAATGTCATCTTTTTTACCCTTTTTTCTCACGATGATCTTGTTGATGGTGAAAACCGAAAAATGCGTTTTTCCATCCCAACGTTCCCATTTTATTTCTTTTTTACGAGATAGCTGACCATTTTCTTTTATTTAAAACTTTTCTGAAAACATTTTTAATTCCATGAAGAAAATTCACATGAAATACTAGGTTAATTTTAGAGCAGCAGAGCTTTGCAACATCGTAAACAGAGATACGCATTTTTTTGGCTTAAGCCACCGATATTAGTTGTTAATTCTGGGGTCTCTAACTTGGTCTGTCTGAATACTCGGATGCGCTGCCAAGCCGCCAATAAAATTTAACATTTCTGGAAAAATTATGATAATATTTTTCAAAAATTTGAGGGCATGTTCTTCACGTTTTGACCAGGTGTATGTAAAAATTTCACCAAAAAAAGAGAGGTGCTGTAGTAACATCCTGGGTGTTAAAAAAATGAGCGACAACTCTTGGATGTTGTCATTACCACGCTGGGTGTTGAAGTAACATGCTAGGATGTTACCTTTACATCCTATCATGCTACATTAACTGCGGCAGAGTGTTAATGGCAATATCCAAGAGTTGTCGCACATTTTTTCAACAACCTTAACATCCGGAATGTTACTACAGCATCATTTTCTTTTTCGGTGTTGAGGGAAAAACACTCATAAAATTATCGTAGATAAATGTCTTATTGAGGAGAGTCTAAAAACGTAGAGCTATCTATTTATGACGTGTTTCCTCAGCACGGTAGTGATGGCTTTTGCTCTACCAATGCTGAAAATAATTTTGGTAAACCTAAATATTATGGAAGTAGCTTAACTCACTCGCACTGGATTACCGGAAGGATCGAAGTAGGTATATGCACCGTAGACTTTGGCGTCGGCGTCCCTGGACTCCATCCTTGTCTGTTCCTTCGTGTGAAATCCGAAGATCACCCTCCCGTTCTTCTCTTTCTTGTAGAATTGGTGCGGCTCTCTCTCCATGTTACGGTCGGTAACTGGTAACTGGGATGACTCCACTGGCAATTGCGGCTTTTCGGATGGAGCATTCGTCTTTTCTGTCTTGGCATCTGAAAGAGAAAATACATAATTTTCATCGATGGGTCCATCTATTATCTAATCTTGTGAATGCATAGCACACATCTTCGATCAATTAAACAACTCCGTAAGTCTGGCTCGCCTATATGGAGGGCGTGATGCAATAATTTAAACTTGTATGTAGGTAAAATTGCTTACACGTTTGATTGAAGGAAAGTATTTCAGTCGAAAATTCTTTTGACTGCCCCGTAGAGTACATTGATTGACCACTTAATTAGAAAGAGCACTTGTTTTCATGATGCGATTTTGTGATTTAAGATTCAGGATCATGTGTCGCAGGCAAGTATTGAAATCAGACTTTTTGTAAAATTCCCAGGCAAACAGTCTAATATTCTAAATTCAGATAAAATATAATTCACTGCTCCAATAAGAAAGAGTTGCCTGTAAAAATTTGCGTCATACAATTATATATTTTAAAAACGATTTCTACCTCCTGAACGAACATGTACCCTCCGTAATTTATAATATCTTATACAATTTCAAACTTTTACTATCTGCTTAGGCTACTGATAAAATGCCTGATTTATGCTTATTGTCTGTGACATAATATACATGAAACTCAAACTCACGCGCCGATTTAAACGGCGTGTCACATATATTGAGACTTCTCTGTAGACCAACGAGCCTGACTGCCAAGTACAGAAAGTGATTTCTATTTAAACCTACCATGCGCTAATTTTTCAGAAAATTGAATTATTAATCTCAGGAAATCCATATCGTGAGAAAAACGGACGGAATTTTCGCATTCTGCGCTGAAAATCCAACGGAATTTTTCAGTCGAGGCCCTTACCTTATTTCAGAATTTTTTTAGATACTCGTGTGATCAATCTGCAGATCTTTGCGACAATAATATTTGAGGAACTTGAAGGACAAGACACATAAGTGCAGGGTTGGAAAACTTGAGATATTCATAACTGCAAGTATAACTAGTCTTGATGTATATTCTACGAAATATTCGCTCCCGAATTCCGATTTTTAAGCATCAAAAGGTCAGCTTGACCTATTTTCCGCCACAAGGATCCGTGTAATTGCGAAACATCAAACATGTATTTTTCGAAATAGCATAAACTGCACCTATGCGCCTTGTCCTCCAAGCCCCTCATTTGACAGTACCTTCAGGCTCGGTGAGCGGGACACTGGTCGATCTCTGCTGCGACTCGGCCGGCGTGGGCGACACCCGGCTGGGATCGTAAACCTCCAACGGGAAAGGCTTCACCGAGATAGGCTTGGACTCCCAAACGCGTAGACTTTCCCCAGACTGCGGCTCCTCATGACCGGGCAGCGAGTTATCGAGAACAAACCCTGACCTAGTCCGATCCTTGGGGGTCTCACTGCCGCTAACCCGCGAGTAGCGGATGGGGATAGGCACGAGGGGGTGGCTCTGGAGGGAGGTGGGGCGGAAGATGATGGGGCTCTTGCCCGGGATCGGGTTCGGGAGGAAGTAGTTGCGGCGGAGGGTGTTGGAGTTTGGCGGGAAGTAGATGGAGTTGGACTGGACCAGGATGTCCGTGGGGTAGTCGGAGGAGTATTCCGGGAACGTGATGAGCTTGCGTCCCAGAGGGCCGGGGCCACGGGATAGTCGGGAGCCCCATGGGTACGGCGAGGGCACCTCCACCACGCGTAGCGGGATCGATGAGTAGATCTGCCCCAGGCTCAAGTCGCTCACCGCTATCAGCCATGCCTGAAATTAGAAAAACACCAGAAATTTAGCACGGATAGGATAAGCATCAGGAATGCGAGTGCGTGGAATAATGGGAGTTGAGGAAGATATTGTGCACGATATTAAAACCAGGCAGCTGGTTTGGTATGGACATGTGGGGAGAATGGCAGATAGTAGGTTGCCCAGAAAGGCATTCGATTGGGTTCCTCCCGGAAGAAGACGGCGTGGACATCCAGTAAAAGGTTGGCGGGAGGGAGTGGAGGGGGAGATCAGACGGTGTAATCTGCCCGATGATTTGTGGGAGGATCGATTCCGATGGCGATTTGGAGTCGCAGAGCGCTCTGGTGCGCTGAGGTAGCGGCTTGATATGTATGTAGGATAAGCATCAGGTCTTGGGGTGGACGACGCCTGAATTCAGTAAAGTTCAACAGGGAAGATTCGAGTTTTTATTGATAAAAACAAAATATCTGCCTATTAGTTGAATTACATTTTGCAATAAGGAACCGCTATCCTTGGCTCTCCCAATAAAACACGTATCTGCATAGGGAAACCAATGGCATGTATGTTGTTTCTAAAATTGGCCAGAAATAGTGGTTCCTTATTGCAAAATGTAATCCAGTTGATTCAAAGAACCCATCAGGCATCACTAAGGTGAGTTCTTGTTGCGTTGTCAGTCGCTCGATAAACTTTGGAAAGATAGCCACATCTGGCGTTTGGGTGTCGCAGAGCGCCAGAGTGCACTGAGGGGCAACGTAAATGTATGTTTATTTCTTCATGAGAAATAAAGAAGAAATACTTTAGCACAGACCCCATGTCTTTCAAAAAATACTTAAATCTTCCCTGCAAAACCCGATTCATACCAGGAAAGAATAATTTAAAGTCTAAGCAGGAAACAATGAGGGATCGAGAAAATATTATAAAATTTAATTCATAATTTTGTACAGGCACAATGTCGCGTCAAGCGAGGAATTTAAAACTGTTTTTACTGAGGATGATCGCAGGATTAGCGAATAACTTTACTCTCTCTGGCAACGCTTCTCGTGAAAACGCCTTCAATAACTGAGGATGCAAGAGAAGTATCACATAATCATGACATCAGAATCAGGCGCAGAGAAACGAACAGCATTTTCAGGTCTTCATGGTTTCATTTTATAGGTCGATTCGAAATGAACATAATTCTACTCAGCGCAAAATGTTTTGAAATATCAATCGACACTCCTTAGTTCAACTAGGGATTGGGAACAATTGAATATCTGTAAACTCATCTCAGCACGAGAATCTATTTATACTATTTTTGTTTTGTGCCGTGAGTAAATAAACTCAATGTCGTTTTCATTTCGTTCGAGCTTGAGGCTTTTATTCTAAACCTTTAATCCAAATGATATCATGTGTTCTGTAAAATTATTCGGGAGCTAAATTTATGATTGACCTCTCAATCCAAAAATGGAGAAAGATTCATTGGTGAAAACATTTAATTCTTTTATTCCAGAAGTTTAATGATAACTAACGGACGTTTTTTAGTTAGATGCCCCATATTAAAAAAAATTATCTTTTAAAATCAATCATTCATCTTTATGTTGAATCGGTAGGGAAGCATAAATGCATTGAATGTTTACTTCCTAATAAAAGGATACATGCTAGATTTTAAAAAAATTCTCTTCATCACTAAAAACATATCATTACTTTAAAAACAGTGACAGCAGGAATCCAATAATGCTACCTGGGTTTTAACGTTCAAACATCATTGATCATATTTGATTCTTTTAAAAGTATTCTGATTAAAAGTGGATCCCTGTAATTTTCTTTGATTATTTTTGAATGAGCGGAGAAAATTCGTAGCATCTTTGGGGGGGGGGGGGGAAATTGCAGGGTTAGTTTTCAGTACCAACTCGGAGTTTTGCAACTTTCCGATTGAAAATCTGCCTCGTTCGATTTCAGCCATGGATTCAGCGTCAGTGAGCATCAGATACAGGTGGCAGGTGGCACGTAGAGAAAATCACAAATAGAAAACTTTCACCCCTAGCCAACATCACACAAATTGGCAACGGGGAGAACGAAGATAGACTTTGGAAGAGTTCAAGAAAACCATAATGATCGGTCAAGAATCCCAAGCGATCCCGGTCCCAATTAATTCGGAACGATTTAAGATCAGCATTTTCTGGAGCTTTTATTGCATTACCGGCTTGCCATCTCCGATCGCTAGATTAACTCCGCTATTGCCGGATCGGACCGGAGCTGAGGAAGAACCACGAAACATTCGCGTCATACCTAACTTTCGTTTGACCAACACGGGTGTCTTAGGCCCGAGGCTTGCTATAATCGTATGAAATTGAGCAAAAAGCACATACATGCATAGATAGTTTTAAAAAAACACCTAACTACAATGGCTTTAAGACGCCAAACGGTAGTGCAATGCAAACGCACCATAAATCGAAGAGGAGAGGAAAGGAGAGGAGGATGAACGCGAAAAATTAAAAAGGAAAGGTATTAATGGAGTTGCAGGAGAAGAAGGAGAAGAAGGAGAAGAAGAAGAAGAAGGAGAAGAAGGAGAAGAAGGAGAAGAAGGAGAAAGTGAGTAGATAGAAGAAAACGTAGACGAAGGGGAAAAACATGATGTCATGATGATGATGAAGAGGAAAAGTAAAAGAAGAAGAAAAGGAAGAAGAGCAATTCAACAAGGAGAAAAAGAGGGATAAAGAGGATCAGGAGTGAAAGGCGAAGGAGGGGAAGGAGAGGGCTGAAGAAGAAGAGAGAGAACGAGGAGAAAAAGAGGAGAAAAGAGGAGGAAGAGGAGGAGGAAGAGGAAGAGGAGGAGGAAGAGGAGGAGGAGGAGGACGAGGAGGAGGACGAGGAGGAGGACGAGGAGGA